CTCCCTCTTTCCTCCCCGTAGGCTCTCCCCAGGGACCTCCCCCTCCCAGGGATTTCATGTTAACAGGCTCCCCGAGCTCCTCCTGTTATTCCCCAAAGTCAAATAATCCGCTATAGACGTTTGGTGCATGAATACACATAGATACATACATATGCATGTGTTGATACCCGTCTATGTGTAGACACATACACACATACACACGTATGTTGGTCTATAAGGGTGTTTTGGTCTTTAATAGGATATTAGCCATCACTCTCTGCATCTTGTTTTCCTCCCTCAACAGCACCTCGTGGAAATTCTCCAAGTCTTCTGATTCACCCCCTTTCAGTGGCTGGATGGTGTGGTCTTCCTGGCCCATGGAGTGGATGTACCAACATTGATTCAGTCGCGGTCCTACCGATGTGTGGTCGTGTGTGATGTGTGTGTGTGTGTGTGTGTGTGTGTGTGTGTGTGATGTATGGTTCCCTTTCTGCCCCTCCCCATCATCAGAGTCAGCCGTAAACATCCTGATGACAGCAGTGTATATGTTTCTGTATGTCTTTAGAAAATGTCTGCTACATTTTAAAAGTTTGAATGACATATGTCTTTAATGCATTGAAAGACAATTCTAAAATGTATAATGAAGTGGAATCGAAAGTTAAGAATGAAAAGACAGAGAATCGGGGTGGGGGGGGTGTGGGCTGTTTGAAGGAGCAGCGTCGCCTGCCTTCCCTGGTGTCACGGTGCCACCTTTACCCAGCTGAGGCCTCCTGGACATCCCTTCCCCCCACAGACTTCAGGAAGCAGTCAATTAAACTGCTTCAGCCCTTGAACATCTATGGGATAGATTTTCAGGAGAAGGGATGTGGGTTGGAAGGAACGTGTGCTTTTAATTCACTAATGGGTGATGCAAGCTTGGCCCCAAGTGTTTCTTCTTTAGCCCGACCTTCTCGTGGGGGCACCTGATTATCTCTCTGCAAACAGACCTTGACTTCCCAGCCCTCCCTCTTTGCTTACCACCTTCAGGAAACAGATCTGCCCTATCTCCCTATCTCCAAGCAACATCTTGGGGTTCTGACCAGTGCCATGCTGAGCCATATTGAAGCCTGATGGGAAAGGCCCCGTATACATACTTTGGCTTCTTTTAAAATTTTTTTTTCCCCAGAACACTAAAGTAGTTGAAATAAATATTGAAAAAATATAAGTGGGGCATATTAAAATTCACATTATTTTTATTTTATTTATACCAAGACAAAATTTAACATAATTTTATTTCAGTGTAAGTTAATTAAAATTTATTTAACATCATCATTTGGTCAAGAGAAACTGTCAATCATGAAAATTCTCTTGATTGAAAATACAATAAGGGGAGCTGAGGTGGCTCAGTCAGTTAAGCATCCAACTCTTGGGTTCAGCTCAGGTCATGATCTCAGGGTCGTGAGATGGAGCCCCACGTCCAACTCTGTGCTCAGTGCAGAGTCTTCTTGGGATTCTTTCCCTCTTCCTCTCCCTCCTCCTCTGTTCCCTCCCCTCACTCCTGTGCATGCACGCACGCTCTCTCTCTCCCCCCAAAATTCTAAAACAAAATGTGATAAGCCAAGATGCAGATTAAAAAAATATATATTATTGATGAATTTGCTTCCATCAAAGCCAGGGGTGCACGTTTTTCCTTTTGTTTCAGGCACCAACATGGTCCAGCATGGTGCTGGTCTTTATTTAAAATTTTGGGATCTTCTTCATTGAAATATCATGGATTTTTGCATTAATTTTTATTTTTTAAAAAGTATTACATTATAATATCATTTATCTCGATAACTGAGTTTTTTGGCACCCCCTTAAATTTTGCACCTAAGGCCAGTGTCTCACTTGTTGGCCATAGTCCTGGCCCTAGTTCTAACCAAACTGTGTCACTGAGTGCAGAAGGATCGTCGCCTCATCCCTGTGCCCCTTTCATGACACTCTCCAAAAGGCTTCTGATGCTCTCCCAGGTAACAGGTGTATATATCGTCACTGTGGACTATCATGAGATCTGGGCCCTGATTGCCTCTCAGATCTCATCTCCTAGAACTCTCTCCTCAGTCACTCTGCTCCAACTACACCAGCCATTGTGATTCTCCCCCAGACACATGAGACTCAGTTCTGCCTCAGGACCTTTGCATGTCCATGCCCTCTGTCTGGAAAGCTTTTCCCCCTGATGTCCACATGGCTTGTTTCCTTACTTCGTTCAGACCTCGGCTCAAATAGAATGTCAATTTCTCAGGCCTTCCTGCACCACTCTATCAAAAATAGAACACTTCCTCCCCCAAGTCACTTGGCTATTTAGTGGCCTAAAGCAATGCTTTACTTCCCACAAGTCTGTCCCACAAGTGGGATATTCTACGCTCAGCTGGTTCTTCTATTCCCATGTGGTAGCAGCTGGGGTGGTTCTTGTGGCTGCATTCAGCTGGAAGTCAGTGGGGACCTGAATGTGCTGGGTGGCTTCTGTCTCTCCATGGGGTCTCTCCAGCGGGGTAGCAGGACTTCTACTTGGTAGCTCAGGTTCTGATAAAGGGAAAACAGAAGCCACCACCTCTTAAGCCTGAGCTTGGAAGTCCCAGAAAGTCCCTTCAGCTACATATCATTGATCAGAGCAAGCCACAAGACCCGCCCAGGTTCAAGGGGAGAGGGCAGAGACTCCCACTCTTGGTGGGAAGAGTGGCATGTGCTTGCAGAGATGGGAGAAATGGTTGGCGGCCATAGTTACAGGTAACCTACCAACCTCATCCTTGCTTTCTTGTTCTTTTTTCTTCTCACTCTTCGATACTACCTTATTTTGGTTTACTATCTTTCTCTTTCTCAAAAAAATATAAGCTCCATGAGGGTAGGGGCCGTCTGTTTGTCAGTGCCTACAACTGTGTCTAGCCAGTACGTACTGGAATGGATAAATGAATGAATGAATGAATGAATGAATGAGTCCTTGGGGACTAACTTCCGGTTTCCTCAGGATTATGGCGAATGGAGACAAGGTGAAGACCACATGTGTCGACGTTCCTAGGGAAGTGCTTTAGGCTTTTGAAGAGACACAGAGGGAGGACAGGGAGGAGATGAGGGTTAGGAGTAGGCAGGAGAAATGGGAGGAAGAAGAGGAGGCAGAGGACCGGGAGCTTTGTGAGGGAGGCAGGGCCTGGCACACAGCAGGTGTTCAGCAAGTGTGTGTTCAGGGAATGAATTTTCTCCAAAAAGCCTTCCCCGACGCCACCCCATCCCGCGCTGGGTCAGGCATCCCCTTGGCTCTCACGCTCGTCTGGGGACTCCATCCCTACTTTACCACCTGTGGGTTGTCTCTGTCAGGGGAGGGTTCTGTGACCCTCACTGGACTCTTGTGAGTCCTGTGCTGGGATCCGAACATCAACCAACGGGTCCTTGGTGCACAATGATCATGTGCTGCGGAAACCGCCCCGCTGTGGGAAAGGGCTGTCGCCGTCATTGCTGTCCCCAGCCTGGCAGAGACCGAGTGGACACTCAGGAATCACCTTCATTGATTCTAAGATGCTCTGCCCCTGCCCCCACGTTTTAGCAATTCTGAAATCAGGACGAGTCGCAGATGATGGCACCTTACAAACACCGTCAGCCAGGAGGCCATTGTGACACGGCTGTCACTGCCTGGAGGTGATAATGGAGCTGCTTTTAATAGCATCGTCCCTGCTCCTGATGGCACGGAAGGACGCGGAGTGTGGGAAAGCAGGGGCGACCCCTGCTCAGAGGCAGAAGTGAGCCCACGGAGTCAGACTCTGTGGTTAGGAACAGCTTAGCCAATTTATTTCCCTTGTATTTTCCCAGTTAGATGCACACACAGTGATATATGATAAAAAAAAAAAAATCTGTGTTTTCCATGTAAGTCTATAAAGAGTAAGTGTGAAATAAAAATTTTAAGTGATGAGGAAATGTCATGTCCTATTGGTATTGGCAGCAATTTGTCCCCCTCTTAGGGGGATGGAAAACGATGCAGCTGACGACCAGCAGCACCTTCGATCTGATTATACAGGAAACCCGTGGAAAGAAGGAATGAATAAATGTGTAAATCTCATTTGTCTCTGTCTTCCTCTCGATTCTGGTCTCAGCTCCTGGGTTTTACGTCTGTCTGGGGATGACAGGTGGGAGAAGAGAATTCTAGTCCCTGTTAAATGAGCTACCTCACCTGACGGGTTTCCCACGGCGCTTGGCACGTTGTAAACACCCAGTAAGTGGGCGCTCTGCCTCGTGTGTGGCCGTATCAGCCGCCCCCAGCAGCCTGCGAGGTCTGTAATGGCAGGGATGAGTGCGACTCACACCTCTGGACCAGTACAGGGACTGGCCTAGGGCCAGGTCGAAGCAAATGTTTGTGGAGTGACCAAATAACCGTGTGAATTACTGGGTGAATGAGAGCTCTCTGTCAACTCAGGGTCTTTGCACGCGCTGGGCCATGGCCTGGGATGCAACTCCCTAGCAGGCCACCAGGCTCACAGATCTCAGCTCAGGTGCCTTCTCCTCCAGGAAGCCCTCCCTGACCCCTAGGCTGGGTCAGCTGCCCCCTTGGCGTTCCCACAGCCCTCCGGAGTCCTCCATTCCAGTCCTGGGTCGTCATTGTCTGCGGATGGATGGGACTTGCATGGGACAGAGCCCAGGGCTGTCTTGGTCATTGCTGCCCAGGATGGGGCCTGGAGAGGTGCTGAAGGTATGATGAATGAACACGGAAGACAGGCCAGGAGCTGGTAGAGGTGCGCCTGGCAGCGTGCCAGCCTGCGTCGGATGCATTTCTGCAGGTGCCGGGCACTGTCTTGGCCCTCAGTCACCCCGGGCTGTGCCCATCTCCCTCCCCTCTGACCCAGAGCCCCCTGAGGGCAGAGCACTGGGGATCAGGAGCAGGGGCCCAATGAATGAGGGCTGTGAAGGGGGAGGTGGGCTCCAGGGGCCACGGCCCGTGTGTGTTGTCTGCGTGTAATGGAGTCTCTCCTGGGCTGCAGGTCTGTGTGTGCCTGAATGTGTGTGGGCTACACATTGGCCTGACTTCTGCTTTTCGGTAATAACTGTGTCGGAGGGTCCGGGACTCTATACTTTCCCTCTTGGGCCGGGTGCCTGTGTCTGTGAATTTAGGGGAGGAGTCCAGGTCTGTGTGTTTGGTGTCTGGGAACATCTGCAAATATTTTTTAATCGGTTGACCTTTGGCTCCCTCCCTGCATCTCCGTCTCCGCCCCTTGGTCCCATTTCTCTGGCTGTGTCCTCTCATCCCCTCTGTAACCTGAGCCTCTGACCTGTCTTTCCCTGGTTCTCTCTGAGGTGGTTTCTCGCCCACTTGGTCTTCCTGCCAGACGCTCCCTCCGCTTTTTTCTTGGGGAGTCTCCCTTTGTCTCGGGGGCCTTTGCCTCAGCCTGTCTCCTCATTCACATGGCTCCCTGCTTCCACTTCCCAATTTGTCACAGCGCTGCCACCTTCAGGGGTCGTGAGGAAGTAGAGGAGGGAGAGGGACAGAGGGGACCGGGGTGTTACACTAGAGTGGGCACTGAGCTGGGATTTGGACGGGCTAGGCTGGGCAAGGAGAGGCCTAGACGCCAGACACTGGTCTGGGGAGTGGCCCTGTGGGGCTGCGGCGCGGGGGCCGGTCCTGGCCAGGGCAGGGCAGAGGCGTGCTGGCAATGCCCCTGTGGGTGGGTTCAGACCTGGCCTCTCCCCACAGCCAGCGCCGGCGAAGTTAACCAGCACCCCCGGAGCTCGCACAACACGTCGCCGGGCGGTAGGTGAGTAGACAGTGCGGAGAAGGGGACATGAATGACTTGTTTGGGCAACATTCCCCTGGAAGGAGGAGAAACAGAGGGTGGGTGGTGAGCAGGGTCAGTCCCTTGGATGCCAGGTGGTGGAGCTGGGACTGTGTCCTGTGGGTGATGGAGACCACAGAGGGGTGGTGAACAAAGATCTCTGTGGGTCCCTTGTGGGGGGACTGAGGGCCCAGTGTGACCGAGAGGGGGGCCCTAGGAGCAGCTGGGGGGTGGGGACCCCGCCCCCTGACATCACTGTCACATTATTGCGCTAGGGTTGGCTGACCAATCAGCTGCTGCTTGCTGTTATAATGGGTCCTAGCAACGGGTCTGACCTTGGGCTAACAAGAGAGGAGACCCCACCAGCGGGGAAAGTGTGAGGGGAGAGGGAGAGCCTGCAGGGCAGGTGAGTCCCCTGAGGGCAGGACTGTCTGGCTGGGCCCTGTGGGTGAAGGGAGGCAGGGGTTTCCAGGACCAACCCTAGATCCCTCAGCCCTATTCCCACCCCAGGGGCCACTGACCTGCCTGGCCCCGGCTGCTGGGACCTGCCCCAGCACCTGCTCACCTCTCCCTGGGCCTTATCCTTACATGCCTTGGGGGGACAGGGTGCAGGGAGAGTGGGCATAGCATGGGAGAAATGCCCCCACCCAGGATGGGGGTTCAGACCTGGTAGGAACAAGGTAATAAGGACAAATTTCTGTTGGGGGGGTGGACAAGGACAGCCCAGAAGACAAGGAGGGAGGCAAAGACATGTAGCTGAACAGAGAGCTTCAGAGGGATGAGGGAGCCCAGGGACGTGCCTTTGAATCCCGGCTGGGCCTCTGTGCAGGGACCTCATTGTGTAGTCTGAGCCTCGGTCCCTCTCTGTCTGATGGGGACAGCGATCCCTAGTGTGAGCTGAGCTTAGCAACCCAGGGCAGGTCTGGGTGTTTAAGGAGGAGGACTCCCGCTGTCTGGGCATCCCCTCATTCCAGGCTCCTTCCACTAGCTGAACCCCGGAAGGCTGACCTAGGGATAGATGGGCGGGCTCACGATCGCGCAGGCCTCACTTGCCCTGTGCCGTAGCAACGTTGTCTTCCGTGGTGCACGCAGAGAGGGCAGGGGAGGGCTCCAGGTCACACAGCTGGGACTACTAACAAGGATAATAATGACGCTGCCACTGGTAACACAGACCACCTGCTGTGGGCCAGGCGCCATTTCAAATGCTTTCTATGCATTAACTCAATTCTCAACAACCCCAGGAGGTGGTTTGCTATTATAGCTGCTGGCCTCATCGTACAGATGAAGGGAATGAGGCGGAGAGCTTCAAGTCACGTGCCCCAGTCACTCGGCGCGTACGATGGGGAGTCAGGGTCTGACCCTGGGTTCGGCTCCAGGGTCTGGGTCCCCTTCCTCCCCCCTTCCCGCTGCTCCCAACCCTAGCAGCTGCAGGAGCGTGGCCTGCTCTGCCTGCGCCCGGGTGCTGGGTGTAAGCCCTTTCCTTTGCAGCCCTGGCTCCCACATTTGTGGGGCCCGGTGCAAAATGAAACCACAGGGCCCCGGGTCGAATATCATTAAGAGTTTCAGTCAGTGTCAGAAGAGCATTAAGCCGGGCGCCTGGGTGGCTCAGTTGGTTAAGTGACTGCCTTCGGCTCAGGTCATGATCCCAGGGTCCTGGGATCGAGTCCCACATCGGGCTCCCGGCTCAGCGGGGAGCCTGCTTCTCCCTCTGACCCTCTCCTCTCTCGTGCTGTTTCTCTCTCGCTCGCTCTCTAATAAATAAATAAATAAATAAATAAAATCTTTAAAAAAAAGAAGAGCATTAAGCCGAGAGCTGAGCCTTCCGAGCCTGGGGCCCCGTGTGGCTGCCTGGGTCACAAGCCGCCATCAAACCTTTACCCTGAAGACTCCTGAGCACCGCAGAAGGCACGTCAGTCACTATGCCCTTTATGCAGAGGAACAGGCTCAGAGAGGTACCTCACTCTGCCCCAGGTCACACGCAAGTCAGCGGCAGGGATGGGATGTGAGCCTGGGCCTGTGAGACTCCAAAGCCCCCTACCTCGTGTCAGATAATGTACCGGGGGTTTTTTGAGAAGGGGCGGGCCAGAGGGACTTCCCTTATATCCTTGGTGTCTCTCTCTCCCTGCCCTGTGCCAAGGCCCAGGAGAAGTGAACGGCTCCCTTCTACCCCGCAGACGCTGAGAACCCCGCGTCCCGTGACTCTCCCCCAGCCCCCGCACCCTCTGAACCGCTGGTCACCATGGCTACTTCGAAGTTGCCAGCAGTGCCCCGGGAGGAGGAGACCACCATCCTCATGGCCAAGGAAGAGCTGGAGGCCCTGCGCACGGCCTTCGAGTCGGGCGACCTCCCGCAGGCGGCCTCTCGCCTCCGGGAGCTACTGGCCTCGACCGAGAGCATCTGCCTGGAGGTGGGCGTCACCGGCGAGTCGGGCGCTGGCAAGTCCTCCCTCATCAACGCCCTCCGCGGCCTGGGGGCCGAGGACCCCGGCGCGGCCCTCACGGGCGTCGTCGAAACCACAATGCAGCCCTCGCCCTACCCGCACCCCCAGTTTCCCGACGTGACCCTGTGGGACCTGCCGGGGGCCGGCTCTCCGAGCTGCCCGGCTGACAAGTACCTGAAGCAGGTGGACTTCGGCCGCTATGACTTCTTCCTGCTGGTCTCCCCCCGCCGCTGCGGGGCCGTGGAGACCCGCCTGGCCTCGGAGATCCTGCGCCAGGGCAAGAAGTTCTACTTCGTGCGCACCAAGGTGGACGAGGACCTGGCGGCCTCACGCACCCAGCGGCCCTCGGGCTTCAGCGAGGCGGCCGTCCTGCAGGAGATCCGCGACCACTGTGCCGAGCGGCTTCGGGTGGCTGGCGCGAGCGACCCCCGCATCTTCCTCGTGTCCAACCTGTCGCCGGTGCGCTACGACTTCCCGCTGCTCGTGTCCACCTGGGAGCACGACCTGCCGGCCCACCGGCGCCACGCCGGCCTGCTCTCGCTGCCCGCGGTCTCGCTGGAGGCCCTGCAGAAGAAGAAGGACATGCTGCAGAAGCAGGTGCTCAAGACGGCCCTGGTGTCAGGCGTGATCCAGGCCCTGCCCGTGCCGGGGCTGGCGGCCGCCTACGACGACGCGCTGCTCGTCCGCTCGCTGCGCGGCTACCACCGCAGCTTTGGCCTGGACGAAGACTCGCTGGCCAAGCTGGCCGAGCAGGTGGGCAAGCAGGCGGGGGACCTGCGCTCCGTCATCCGCTCGCCACTGGCCAACGAGGTCTCGCCAGAAACCGTCCTGCGGCTCTACTCGCAGTCGTCCGACGGCGCCATGCGGGTGGCCCGCGCCTTTGAGAAGGGCATCCCCGTGTTCGGTACCCTGGTGGCCGGCGGCATCAGCTTCGGCACCGTCTACACCATGCTCCAGGGCTGCCTCAATGAGATGGCCGAGGACGCCCAGCGGGTCCGCATCAAGGCCCTGGAGGAGGACGAGCCGCAGTCTGAGGTCAGCCTGGAGGCGGCCGGTGACAATGGTGTGGAGAAGCGGGGCTCCGGGGAGGGAGGCCGTGAAGAAGCTCCGCTCTCCGTCCGCCAGAAGCTCGGCCTCCTCCTCAAGTATATTCTCGACAGCTGGAAGAAGCGTGACTTGTCAGAAGAGAAATGAGCGTGCGGCCCCCACCCCCTGCCTCACCCACAAACCAAGCCTTAACAAAACCAGCTAAACAAAGCCAGTGTAGTGAAAACGTGCCCTGCACTTGCTGAGGGCGCCAGCGCTCCCAACTCGGCGGGGCAGTGGGGGAGGTGTGAGGGGAGGGAGGCTCGGAGGGGTCTGAGGAGGCCTGTGGGACACACTGAACCGGGATGGGCCTTGCTCCGGGTGGGCAGAGCTTCAAGGTATGCATGGCGGGCCAAGGGCGCCTTGGTGGGATCTCTCTCCCTGGTCCCCTGGGAGCCAAGGGAGATTTGTGGGGCAATAGCCCGGCCTGGATCCAAGACAGTGCGCGGGTAACTTAGTGGAGATTGGGGCTGGTTACGGTACTTATTTTTGCTGCCATCTCCGGTCCCTTTCTGGGAAGCCCAGTGTCCCACAGGCCTCCTCTGGGCGGGGGGAGGGGCGGCCAATTGGTGCCCAGGATCGGCACAATGGTGCCTAGCAACCGGTTAAACAGGGCAGGGGACAGGGGACATCCTGGGCCAGCCCGGCTGCTAGTGAGTGATGGTGGGTGTGGGGGGCTGGGGAAGGGGAGGCCCGATGGCCTTGGGCTGGAGGGCTGGTGGGCTCTTTCTCTGCCCACCAGAGGAGAGAGGGGGCAGAGGGCGAATCCCGCCACCTAGAACACGTCGTTTTGGAGAGCGTGCAGGTGTGTGTGCGGGAATGTGTGTGGCGATAAGCTTTCCGGTGTGTCTGTGATTGGGAGGAGCATGGGTAAGTGTCCGGGATTTTGATGCTGTGGGTCTGAGGTTGTGAGCAGTCTGCCGACTGGGGTTTCACCCGCTGGGGCCGCATGGCTGTGTGGGTGCATGAGTGCTGGGGTTGTGCTGAAGGCCATGGGGCCGAGCCAGGCGGCGGGGGCATGTGGGTGCAGGTGTCGCTGGGCAGGCGCAACACGGGGTGAGGGGGTCTGTGTCTGTGAAACCAAGCCCCGGGCACTCCCTCTTGCTTTGTCCTTGGCTCTTCGGTGGGAATGCAAAAGTGAACCTGACCCCCTCCTACCCGCTCAAGCCTGACCTCACATGCCAAGTCAAGGGTCACATACGTATAGAAGATTAAAAAACTACCTGATTAGGGTCTTTGGACAGGACAAGGGCTGCCCCGAGGGCTTCTGTGGACTTGGACACGGGGTCAGGGAAGGGTCGGATTTAGGTGTCTTTGAGAAAGGTGAGTTTCCAGGAATTCGCAAGAAGGCTCTGGAAGCTGTGTACAAGGCCGGTGGTGGAGTGGGGACTGCAGTGCAGGGGAGGTGGCCTCACCCCTAGGTGTTCACAAATACCACCTATGGATACTCCCAGATCTGGGGATGGTTCTATTTGGGGCCTCAAATGACCTTGAACCTAGGCAACAGTTCCAGACAAAGAGAGGCCACTTTCACTTGGAGGATTAAAGGGGGTGCCAGTCCGCTCTGCCGAAGAGCTCTGTGCAACAGGATTCTTCTCTTTCTGGAAGGCCTTCCTGGTGGCTCTGCCAGGACTACTTTTGGGTTCACATGGACCTTTCTGCACCCATGAGGGTGTGGGGGATAATGGTAGGGAAATCCCAGACCCCCAGATACGAGGACAGATGGTCCACTCCAAATCTGTTCTCAAAAATCCAGCTCACATCTCTACAGCTGTGCACCCTCAGACATCATCCGAAACACAGGACTCATGGGCTCCGCCCGAATGGCTGGGATGGAAAGGGCAGGCATGAATAGTGATGCTCCCTACACAGGTTAAGATCAACTGGTCGCCCTGTCCTGTCCTTTCTGCCTCCAGCTCTCCCTTTCCCATCCCCCGTCTCTACCCCCTCAGCCCCTGTTTTAGCATAGGCCTCACCCTCTCCACCAGCTACTGCCCCTGCCCCTTGCCTCATCTCCCAGGCTCCAGTGTCATTCCCCAAAGGCCACAGGGGGCTCTTCAGTGTCCACCGTGCACCTCTCCCTTCCCTGCTCAATACCCTTCCATGGTACCCCAGAGAAAGATCAAGCTTAGCCTGATACTCCAAGCCCTTCCCAAGCTGGTCTCTGAAGCTTGTCAATAGTAAGACCCTGAGTCTTCCTAAAACAGGGGGAGTCATCGCTCCACTTCACAGGTGAGGAACCAAACAGATAGGGGAAATAAAGGCTGCAGAGGGGACATGACCCACCCACCGGCACCCAAGTCCCTGCACGGCCGGGACTGGTTGCAGTCATGCATTCCCAGTGTCAGCGCTGGTGCCCCAGGCCATCACACCAGTGAGGACTCTGAGGCTCAGAGGCCGGGCGGGGCTTGTGGTTCCCCGAGCAGATGTGGGTACTCAGAAGCCAGCAGCACTGGGCGCAGCATCTTCACAAGTACACCAGGCCTGTCCCGCCGAGTCTCTTTTCCTGGTGCTGGAGCTGCAGTGCCCAAAGAGGTCCTGCCTGGCCCATAGTGGGTGCTCAGCTGTGCAAGGATGGGGTGGGGAGGTTGTATGGCAAAAGGATGGGAGGGCGCTGGTCCATGTCCTGGCTCCGGTGCAGGCTGGAAGACATTTAGTGAGCGACTTTTACCTCCCCGTGCCTCGGTTTCCTACTCCGCACAGTGGGGACTTAATGAAATGATGCTTGTGGCTAGAACAGTGGCTGGCTCCGAGTACACAGTGAACAAACAAACATTAACTGCTATCGGCGATGATGACGGGTCCAGCTCTTCATTACTGCCCTATATTGCTGATCAGAGCGCCTGGTGCACAGTAAATGCCATACAATGTTATTTAAGAATTTGAATTCTAGGGGCCTCTGGCTGGCTAGGGCAGTGGAGCGTGCGACTCTTGATCTCAGGGTTGGGAGTTTGAGCCCCATGTTGGGTGTAGAGATTACTTAAAACTAAAATCTTAAAAAAAAAAAAATTGAATTCTATGATCATAAGACCCAATTCCCATTCCCAACACTCCATGCACTAGCTGGGGGCCTTGGGCAACTGATTTCTCCTCTCACTGCCAAATGTGGCTAGTAAGGGAATCTCCTTTTCCGGCTGTTAGGAGGATTTTCTGAGATACTCCAGGAGGAGAACCTGGCAGTGATGAATAAAAGCGAAGCGACCTCAAGCATTTAGCACCGGGCCTGGCATATGGTTGCACTCTCAGTACGATGGCTGGTGACGCCTCAAGTACTTGGGGCATGCTGAGGGATGTAGAGAAGAGAGGGCAAGTGCTCCCTTACCTGTCCTGTTGAAGGTCACCGATCCTGAAGACGGAGGCCTGGATGTAGGGTAGCCCATGGCGAGCAGAGTCTTCCAGTCGAGCCTCAGCCTGTCCAAGATCCCGGAGCTATGGAGGGACGCCAGTGCTCTGAAGGGAGCCTTTGAGGAGGGCGACCTGTCGGCAGTAGCCGCCAAGCTGCAGACCACACTTCATTCGCTGGAGAATGCCAGGCTGGACATTGGCATTACTGGGGGCACGGGCTCAGGCAAGTCGACCTTTGTCAATACCATCAGGGGGCTGGGAGACGAGGACCCCAAATCGGCCTACACGGGCGTGGTGGAAATGACGGTGGGGCCCACGCCATACGCACACCCTAAGTACCCCAACGTCATCACCTGGGACCTGCCGGGCATCAGCACGCCCACCTTCCAGGCTGAAAAATACCTCCAGCGGGTGCTGCCGGCCCGTTACGACTTCTTCATCATCATCACCTCGGATGATGTGATGAGCTTCACCGCCCACCACGCCCAGCTGGCCCGTGAGATCCTGCAGCTGGGCAAGCGCTTCTACCTCATCCGCTCCAAGGTGGACGTGGACATCGCTGCCTCCCGCAGCCGGCACCCCAGCTCAGCCGAGTGCTGAGAGTGCTCAGCCAGATCCGGGAGGACTGTTGGCGGCGGCTGGAGGGTGAGGGGCAGGCTCTGGGCGGCTGGGCCGGGTGGATTCTGGAGGGACCGCCGGCCCCTTCCCCTTCCTCCAGCGGAGGCCCGCAGTGGGGAAAGGGGTCGTCCAATGTCACACTGCATGACCCAGCTCGGCCCCGCAGCGAAGTGATGCTCACAGCTGCCATTCATTTCCTGAGAGTTGGCGCTTCTCAGTCACAGGTGACAGAGGCCAATCACCTGCATTAAGGAAACAGGCCGTGTGCTGGCTCGTGTATTTGCCAAGTTAGAGCAGTGCAAATGCCACGTGCCCACGGGATGCTGGCACCTGTGGCCGAGGGCAGCTAACATTTATTAAGGGATTAACACAGGCACCATTTTCATGCACTCACTTCACCACCACAGCATCCCTAGGAGGGAGGTGCAATTATCCATCCCCTCCTTTGATCTGGTAACCTGCCCAAGGCCACGCGGGTGGTAGGGAGCAAGGCTGGGATCGGAACTCAGGCAGCCTGGCTCCGGGGCCAACACTCTCCAGCCTCGTGCCGTGCGCTCCTGGCAAGTGCTCGAGCCTCGGCAGCTGTCAGGACACCGTGGCCTGCCCCGGCGCCAAAACTGCTCGGTGCTCTTGTCTCCCGCAGCGGGGGCCTGAAGGACCCCCAGGTCTTCCTGCTCTCCACGTTTGAGTTGGGCAAGTACGACTTCCACCGGCTGGAGGAGGTGATGGTGAAGGACCTCGAGAGCCACGAGCGGCACGTGCTTCTGCTGGCCATGCCCGCCGTCTCCGAGCCCGTCCTAGAGAGGAAGGCAGCCTCGCTATGGCAACTCATCTGGCTGGTGGCCGCAGTGGCCTGTGGCGTCAACCCGAGCCCCGTGCCGGGCGTCCAGGATGTGGCGTGTGACCTACACATGCTCATCGACTCCCTGGAAGGCGACCGCCGCAGCTTCGGCCTGGACAGGGACTCCCTTGTCACGCTGGTGGGCCAGACGGGCCAACCCCTGCACAAGATCCTGGAGGCGGCACGGGGCCCGAAGACCGTCACCGAGGCGCTGGTGGTGGAACTGCTGGGCCGGGCCCCCCGGGATGCCTCTGCTTTCACCCAGGAGCTCCTCAACGTGCCCGTCCTCGGCACCCTGGCCACCTGTGGCCTCTCCTTCGCCACCATCTACCAGATGCTCCGCCCGTCTCTGGACGAGGCAGTCAAGGACGCCCAGAGAGCGCTGCTTCAGGCCTTCCTCGACAACTCCCGACCATGAGCTCTCAGAGAGATCCGATCAATGATCCCAGCCCTGAGCCTAGACCAGCTGGAGGTGGCAGCGAAGGACTGGGAAGATACAGGTTCTATCTGTCCCCAGGCTGGGTGGTGTCGGGGGATGGAAAGAAACTCAAGCTCCAACTCTCCTGGACTCAGCCCGTGTGCTGTGTTTGTGCTTTTGAGCCCTGGGTCTTATGCCCTCTCTGGCCACTGCCCCCACCTTCCCTGCTCTGAACCCCCACGGCAACCAGCAGTGCCCCCTGGGATGGAGAGGGAGGTGGCAGGACATGGGACAAGGGAGGGAGGAACTCCGTCGTCTAGCTAGAGAAGGCACTTTGGAAGGTGTTGGTGTAGGTCAGGGCAGTGGGGCAAAGGGTTCAGAAGCATTTCCCTAAGAGGACAGTGAACGTCACAGCTCGGAAGGGCCTTGAGGATCATCAAGGGAGGTTCTTGCCTAACGTTTTCTCGGTCAGCAAGCGGCAGGGCCAGAGCCTGCCCTGGGTCTCGGGCCTCCCAAACCTTAGCGCCTCGCTCTTGAGAGATCTGCTCAAGAGAGAGAAAACACTCAAGCTAGGAGTGTTTTCCACTGTTGAAGAAAACACTCCTGGCTTGAGTGTTTTCTTCAACACCCCCCGGGATTCCCATGACAAGGACACCAGGACTGTATGGGTATGCCCAAGGGCAGGAGGAAGGCAGGGAGACCAAAGGGTAGCTATGGGGTAGCGGGCAGACTCGGCTGGTGACTGGAACCAATGTGAAGGGTGGAACAGCAGGATTTGAAGGTCAGGACTAGTTGGGGTTGGGTGAGGTGGCCAGACCAATTTGGAGACATACTTTGGGAAACACCAAGCTAAGACGTAGCCTATTTAAACTGAGCAGATGAGGGTAGGTCCTATATTGAAGTGTACGGTGTATCTGACTGAGAGTCAGTTCTGGATTTAAAGGTAGAGACTACTTTTAAACAAGGGTAGATGAGGTCTGTGGGGAAAGGAAGCCACCATATTTAACCAACAGTAGGCACTGTGTGTAAGTAAGGTAGGAGTATTTGCATAAGGGTAGAAGCTGTTTCAGCACAAGGTAAGTACTATCCTGTACCTGGATATGTTCTATTTTTTCTTTTTTATTTTTTTTAAAGATTTTATTTATTTATTTGAGAGAGAGAGAATGAGAGAGAGCACATGAGAGGGGGGAGGGTCAGAGGACGAAGCCGACTCCCCGCCGAGCAGGGAGCCCGATGCGGGACTCGATCCCGGGACTCCAGGATCATGACCTGAGCTGAAGGCAGTCGCTTAACCAACTGAGCCACCCAGGCGCCCTGGATATGTTCTATTTTTTAAGCATGTATTGAATTAGGCATTGCATTTAACTAGGCATTTCACTGAAGGCAGGCACTTTCCCCAACTGAAAGCAGAGGACATGAGGGTAGGAACTGCATTTAGCCAAAAGAGGGCACTGTATTTTCCTATCAGTACCACGGAGATGGGAGGCTTGATGTCACCCCAGGAAACAGAATACCCCTTTCTAGGGGCTTCCTCCTTAGCAGAGACTGGTGTCCATCTGCTCCCGCCAACTCTATGACCTACAGTGGATGTGCTCCCATGGGAAGTTCACTCAGGCTCCAATGGTGGCTGCAGGTACTCTGCCCCCAAAGGCTGGGACCCCAATTTGCCCTGGTCCCCAGGACAGCATGCTGGGGAGAGGGGAAGAAGAGAAGCACCAGAACAGGCTTGTGTGACTGTTTTTATTCGAACCACCAGATCTGCCCCAACGAAGAGCTCCCCAGACCCTGCTGCACCTTATAGGAAAGGGCTTACAGTCAGGGAGGAGGAACCTGTTGCTCCTGTCCCTGCAGAGGGAGGTCAAGATGGAACCTGGGATTCTTGGGGACCATTCAGACCACTCCTACTGCCTGTCCCTGCGGGGAACTGAGGATGGGCCGCCCTGTCCCAGGTCGGAGGTGGGATCTCAAAGTTGCCCCCTGAACAATACTCCCCTGAGGGCGGGGGGGCCTGGCCCTGGACACCTCATGTCTCTGGGCGAGAATGTCGCGGTCCCTCATCCATCAGGCCTGCTGCCACTCTCCAGCCCACCAGAGGGGTAGGACACGTGTGCTCCCTCACCATCCACGGGGACCCAGAAGTGGGTTCTCTGCATGACGTGCCTTCCCTCGGCCTCAGGCCAGCAGGCGGCTGTACTCTGCCAGGGCAGAGGACTTCTTCACGCCGTCCCAGATCCGGGCAGCGTAGTGGAACCTGTGGGAGGAGGTCAGCAGTCAGCTGCCCTGGCTGCGGCCGGCCAGCCTTGCACTGACCCCGGTCAGGTGGGAGAACAGGTCCTGCGTACGCCCCGTACGCCCCGAGACAAGAGCCTCCTCGGTCGGGATGCAGGGAAGACGGTAATGCTGACGGGACTGGCCCGGGTTCTCAGACCTCACCCAGGGTGAGCCGAGCTGAAGGTGCCCGGTCTGGACCCTAGGCCTCAGGCCCCAACTCCGAGTCCAAACTTCTCCCCACTCCACTCGGTGTTGGCCTTTGTGGGTTGGCTTTCTACCTCTATCTCCCTCCAGTCTTCTAATGATGAGTCTAACAGCTGCGTGACCCTCACCCCCCCGAGCTCTGCCACAGGCAGTGAGAGGAACAGAGCTCCCGGCCCCTTCTGGCCACAGCCGACCGCAGACCCCGGGGAGCCACGCTAGAGCTGCCCCGAGCCAAGCCATCTCCCTCTCAAATGTGTGTCTCCCGGAAAGGAGATGGTGCCGACCTGGATCTGGCAGACCTGCCGTGGGCTCCGGACACAGAGTCGTGTGAAGTCGGGGCTGGGGGGCTCAGGGCTCTGTGAGAGCAGGGGAGAGAAAGCTAGTCGGCAGAGGAGGAGGGAAGGTGGAGGGGGACAGTGCGACTGTGCCATCCGGTGAGAGCTGGAGAATGCAGCTGCTGTGGGGACATCCCAGTGTCCCCTCCTGTGAGGCCACACTTTCTGTCCTCAGGGCCTCAGAATAAACACTCCTCAGGCTGCCTGGGCTCCCTGTTCCTACTCCTCACTATCAAATGACACCTGGCCACAGATGTGTGACGGTGCTATGTGACATTTCCTTTCTCTGAGCCTAGATTTCCCCACTAGTAAAACTGGTGACAAGACTTCAACCCTGCTGGCTCCTCGGGAGGACTCAAGATCACATGAAGCAGCATGCTGCCCGGCATGGAAGCAATCATCGCTGTTTCAGAAAAGGAAGCTGAGATGGGGAGAGATCACTGAGACCTTCCTCTTGCCTGCACCAGGGTGGGGCCCTCACGCCGACCCCTCTGCCAAGAGCTCTTACCAGTTCTTCTCAGTGAGGATTGTGTGCGACAGCTGGGGCCGGGCCATGGACATCACTTGGCTCCGGAGCTTGCTCACCAAGGACTGGAAACTGGGGTGGCCCCGGTACCCAGGGAGCAGGGAGAAGAGCGGGCTGGAACCGGGTCCTGGAACGTTGAGGTGAGGAGGATAAGAGGGCCAGCCTGCCAAGAGAGGGCCTCTCCTTTCTCCCGGTCACCCAGCATCCTGGGCTGGAATGCCAGGAGTACCTCCCCGTTCAGACCCAGCCCAGCTCTTCCTGTACTTCCACGACTCGGACACACACTCCTAAGAAAGGGTCCAAGCACCTTCGGGACAAGCCAGGGTCTCCCCTCAGACCAGTGTGGGTCCCTATCACCCCACACCAGGGCATCCTGTGTCTCCCTCCAGGGGGAACCATACCTGCTCTTGGTGGGTTTTCGCTCTCTGCTTCGCTGTCCATGAAGGGCACCAGGAACAAGTTGACCTCAGAGTCCAGGAAGTCAGCTGGGAGCCCAGGGAAGACATTGCACTGTAACATGGACAGAGTACCTGGAGGAGAGAACCCATCAGCCTGCAGGTACTATGCTGAAGGGCAGGGGAGGTACATGGATGAGCGTCAAGTTAGGGTCAGGAGGCCAGTCTGGACGTCTGGGCCACGGGATCAAATCAGGAATCAAGAGGCCGTTGGCCAGCTTGGGGGTGGTTCAGGGACCCTCACCCTTGTAACGCAAGTGGGAGTGAGCCATGAGCTGGTCAATCATCAGGTGCATCTGTCGCAGCTTTCGAGGACAGAAGTCTTCTCGGCGAGCTTTGTTCTGCAGGAAGACTGAGGGGTGGGAAGAGAGATGCAGTCCTGTGAGGCTGCTGGGGCTTGGCTGTGTGGACTTCCCCTCTCATGCCAAAGATCTGCCATTACCCCTGGGCTCAGAGCACTCGTGAATGTTTACATGACAGTTACTTTGCTTTAGCACCAGGCCCTGTGCTGGGTGATGCTGGGGACCCAGACGTGAGTCAGATGTGGTTTCCGCCCCCAAGGAGCCCCTGGTCTGATGGAAACGACAGAAGAGGAAGACAGGCACAAGCTCAGAAGTAAGCCGGGAAGGCACCAGGGGCTTGGTGAGACAGAGGAAGTAGGGAAATCTTGGCCTAGGGTGACCTAAATGAACTAGACCTTCGTAGAAGAGCAGTGTGTGGGCAGAGCACAGCGGGGCAAGGACAAGGACGGAGCGGACATAGGCTCGGCCTGCGTGCGGCTGAGGGAGGGGGAGCAGGGTGCCTGGGGCCACTCGGGTTACTGCAACACTCACTCCCTGAGTCTGTGCCGGGGACGCCAGGGTCACAGAAATGGGCATACGTGGGTCCTGTCCGCAAAAGGCTCTCATTCGGATCAGGAGCCGGACCCAGACTTGGGGTTTGTACCCTTGGTGGCCGGGTGGGACCCTCAGAGGAAGGAGCAGCTATTCTGCTCTTTCTTTCTCCCAGCTCCCCACTTCCCCAGTGCTCCCTGTTTCTGCCCCCCATTCCTCCTCTGCCCACCCCTCCAGCCCCCAGAAAGTCTCTCACCCAGGTGGGGGTAGTACTCAGTGCCTTCATCGGAGCCTGACGAGCTGCTGGACTCATGGCTGGGGGATGGGGTGGAGGGCTTCACCATCTCTGCTGTCTGGAGGAACCTGAGGTTTGGGG